GCCTTCCCGCCCCGGGAGCGGGCTTCTGCCGCTGACCTCGGGGCCGGTACAATCTACCCCAGTCCCGGCCGCTTCCCGGCGACCTGCCCGTGGGTATCGTGTCACCGGCAAGCCCTCGCACAGGAATGGCAGCCGGAAGGTTGGAAGAGAAGGGGGTTGCCAGCACTGTCAGGCAAGGCCCCAGGGCTTAAGGGAGAACCTCCCTCTAGGTCCATCCCCACCACCTCCAGCCATGTTTTTATCCCCTCAACCAGGGAGTGGAACAGGGAGGAAAATAGGGTCATGCGTTTCACCTGTCCTCTGGTGTCAACAGGGGAAACACAAAAATGCCCAGTGAGGCTGTTCCCTGGGTCTGGCTCACCAGGCCATACTCGATGGAGGCAAAAACATAGCTTAGGCTTTATGGCTGTCCGTATGAAGAAGTGAAATTCCTTCTTTCAACTCAGAGAGACTTCACAAGGTTCCCAAAAAACCTCTCACTCAAGTAGGCAGGCTGCCCTGAAAACAGCTGGGCAACACTACGAGTGGGATAACCTTAGAGGTGCAATTTGGGGTTGACTAGCGGAGAGGACTAGAAAATAACCCTCATGGGATCATATTCCAAAATGGCCTTCATGACCATGTCTCAAAATATCCCAACTCTTTTTTTCAGCCCTTACTGAACTGCAGGAGAAGCACCAATAGTAACACTTGCGTGGGGTGTACTTCTGTGGTCATTTAACAAACGGTGCTGCAACCTGTTTCCCAGTTCTGCAATTCCATCCTGTTTGCAAACGCAGATTGCCCTGAAAATAGCTCTGCTGCAAAACAGGTCTGGAAAACAAGAGTGATTCAAATGTCAAACTCATAATCAATGTAGTTACAGCCTGACAAAAATGTTTGATTTGATGATGGCAAAAGCTGGAATGCAGACAGATGCGTGCTGGGAGAACCATCCCAGTGGGAAAGCTGCTTTTCAAAGTGATCAAACCTTCACAAGCTAAGTCACAACAGCTTAACCCCAAGATATGATGTGAGGATCACTGTAGGGTCAATTTATTACTGGCTATTCTGGTTTATTTTTTGAGGTGCTTTAAACTAAAACCTTCAGGGAAGATTATCTTGATAATCACAGAATCGTAGAATCATAGAGTTGTCTAGGTTGGAAGGGACCTTTAAGATCATCAAGTCTAACCATTAACCTAACACTGCCAAAACCACACTAAACCATGTCCCTAAGCACCACATCTACCCGTCTTTTAAATACCTCCAGGGATGGCAACTTGACCACTTCCCTGGGCGGCCTGTTCCAGTGCTTAACAATCCTTTCTGTGAAGAACTTTTTCCTAATATCCAATCTAAACCTACCCTGGCGCAACTTGAGGCCATTTCCTCTTGCCCTATTGCTCGTTACTAGCAAGAAGAAGTCGACACCCACCTCTCTACAACCTCCTTTCAGGTAGTTGTAGAGAGTGATAAGGTCTCCCCTGAGCCCCCTCTTCTCCAAACTAAACAACCCTTGTTCCCTCAGCCACTCCCCATAAGGCTTGTTCTCCAGACCCCTCACCAGCTTCATTGCCCTTCTCTGGACACACTCCAACACCTCAATGTCTTTCTTGCAGTGAGGGGCCCAAAACTAAACACAGCACTCGAGGTGAGGCCTCACCAGTGCTGAGTACTGGGGGACAATCACTTCCCTAGTCCTGCTCACCACACTATTCCTGATACAGGCAAGGATGCCATTGGCCTTCTTGGCTACCTGGGCACACTGCTGGCTCATATTCAGCCGGCTGTTGACCAATACCCCCAATACCCCCAGGTCCTTTTCTGCTCGGCAGCTTTCCAGCCACTCTTCCTCAAGCCTGTAGCGCTGCATGGGGTTGTTATGACCCAAGTGCAGGACCCGGCACTTGGCCTTGTTGAACTTCATACCGTTGGCCTTGGCCCACTGGTCCAGCCTGTCCAGATCTCTCCGTAGAGCTATCCTACCCTCAAGCAGATCGACACTCCTGCCCAACTTAGTGTTGTCAGCAAACTGACTGAGGGTGCACTCGATCCCCTCATCCAGGTCATTAAAGATATCAAAGAGAATTGGCCCCAGTACCAAGCTCTGGGGAACACTGCTTGTGACCAGCCGCCAACTGGATTTAACTCCATCCACCACCACTCTCTGTGCCCAGCCATCCAGTCAGTTTTTTACCTAATGAAAAGTACATCCATCTAAGCCATGAGCAGCCAGTTTTTCCAGGAGAATGCTGTGGGAAAATATGTTGAAGGCTTTGCTGAGGTCCAGGTAAACAACATCCACAGCCTTTCCCTCATCCACTAAGTGGGTCACCTTGTCATAGAAGGAGATCAGGTTTGTCAAGCAGGACCTGCCTTTCAGGAACCCATGCTGACTGGCCCTGATCAGCTGGTTGTCCTGTACGTGCCGCCTAATGACACTCAGGATGATCTGTACCGTAACCTTCCCCAGCACTGAGGGCAGACTGACAGGCCTGTATTTCCCTGGATCCTCCTTCCGGCCCTGCTTGTGGATGGGCATCACATTTGCTAACCTCCAGTCAACTGGGACCTCCCCGGTTAGCCAGGACTGCTGATAAATGATGGAAAGTGGCTTGGTGAGCACTTCCCCCAGCTGCCTCACTACCCTCAGGGGATCCCATCCGGTTCCATAGACTTGCATATGTCTAAGTGCTGGAACAGGTCACTCACTATTTCTTCATGGATTATGGGGGCTTCATTCCGCTCCCCACCCCTGTCTACTAGCACAGGGGGCTGGGCACTCAGGGAACAACTGGTCTTATTGTTAAAGACTAAGGGAAAGAAGGCATTAAGTACCTCAGCCTTTTCCTCATCCTTTGTCACTGTTTCCACCCCCATCTACTAAAGGACAGAGATTATCCTTAGTCCTCCTTTTATTGTTAATGTATTTATAGAAACTTTTTTTTTGTCCTTAAAAGCAGTAGCCAGGTTAAGTTCTAGTTGGGCTTTGGCCCTTCTAATATTCTCCCTACATAGCCCAACTACATCTTTGTAGTTCTCATGAGTGGCCTGCCCTTTCTTCTAAAGGCCATAAATCCGTCTTCTTTCCCTGACCTGCAACCATAGTTCTCTGTTCAGCCAGGCCAGTCTCTTTTCAGCACATGGGAACAGCCTGCTCCTGTGCCTTTAAGACTTCCTTCTTGAAAAACATCCGGCCTTCCTGGACTCCTTTGCCCTTGAGGACTGCCTCACAGGAACTTTGTCAACCAGGATCCTGAGAAGACCAAGGTAGGCCCTCTGGAAGTCCAAGGTAGCAGTTCTGCTGACCCCCCTCCTTGCTTCTCCAAGAATCGAGAACTCAATCATTTCATGATCACTATGCCCAAGACGGCCTCCAACTGTCACATCCCCCACAAGTTCTTCTCTGTTTACAAACAACAAGTCCAGCAGGGCACCTTCCCTTACCAGCTCCCTCACCAGCTGTGTCAAGAAGTTATCCTCAACACACTCCAGGAACCTCCTAGACTGTTCCCTCCCTGCTGTATTGTATTCCCAGCAGATACCTGGTAAGTTGAAGTCCCCCATGAAGACAAGGGCTTGTGATCTTAAGACTTCTCCCAGCTATTTATAGAATATTTAATCTCCCTCTTCATGCTGGTTGGCTGGTTTATAACAGACTCCCACCATGATATCTGCCTTGTTGGCTCTCCCCGATTCTTCTTCTGTCTTACCTATAGACACTCAACCCTATTGTCACCATCATTCAGTTCTAGACATTCGTAACACTGCCTGACATACAGGGCCACTCCACCACCTCTCCTTGCTTGCCTATCCTTCCTGAAGAGCCTTATAGTCATGTGAGTCATCCCACCACATTTCTGTGATGGCAACTACATCATAGTTTTCCTGCTGCACAATGGCTTCCAGCCCTTCCCGTTTGTTGCCCATGCTACACGCATTCGTGTACAAGCACTTCAGTTGGGCTATTGATCCCACCTCCTTTTTACTGGGAGAAGTCATAATTCCTGCCTGACCATTCCCAGGCACAGCCAGAATGTCTAAGGCATCAATGACCCTCGCATCTCTGCTGCTGCATGAATCTCCATCCCCTACCCGCACTGAGTCAGCAGACCAAGGGACCTCATTAGTACCCTGTCCCATGGACATTGGCATGCCACCCCCTGCCTTACTCCTAAAGAGCCTGGTTTCATCCTCTTCCCCCTTTGAATCTAGTTTAAAGCCTTTTCAATGAGCCCAATAATGTCTACAATTAAATACATTTTAGTTGAATTCAAATCTTTCCGTCTTGCTTAAGTTTACTTGATACAAATTATACTGATCCAGCCTTACCTTAACCCAACAGCACTTATAAATTACATCATTTAACTCTCACTGAGCATAGGCAGGGCACAGACCTGCACGCCTTACAGGACCCTACACTGTTCCTTACTTTTCTGGTGTTACTTTAACATCTACGAGCTTCTGCAACATTATTGTTACCACAGAGAATAAAAAAAAATGGAAAAACTAAGAGACTTTCTAATAATTCTGTGCCTGTAAAATATAACAATATAATGCTTAGCTCTTAATAGTGACTTTTTTTTAGCTGAGAAAACTGTATAAAAGTAAAGGCAATTTTAGCAGAGCTAATGAGATTTTTAGAAATAGTTATTTTGCGAGATTACAGAACTCCACTGAATTGCATTCTTTGACTTTTATGAATATTTATCAGACAGCAACAAAGCTTATCCTTAGAACAGCACTACATTTTAATGATGTGAAAGGTAGAATAGGCCAAGCCTTTCATGTGCTTCATATCTTGGTTTGGGGAACTTCAAGTCAGAACAGCTGAAAGAATACAGAAACATTCAGAAATGTGAAGGTGTATTTTGCATAGTCTTCATTGTCGGATAGTCTACATTACACCTCCTCTTCAAGTTAAAAAAACTAAATCTGGGACATTTACATTTAAAACAAGGCAGCTGTGACAAAAATAGGACTTCTGCAAATAAATGAGAAAGATTGAGCTATTTTTTATTCTGATAATTTAAAAACTGAAAACCTGAAAACCCAACACATTTATAGATTTAACAAGACTACTAGCAGAGCTGCCAAAAAATGTTGCCATGCATACAGGATTTAAATATTACAACAAAAGTTGCTGGGCTGCCCTAGCACTGTGTGGCTGCTTCATTAAGGGACTAGTATCCTGGCTGAGGAAGTCACTCTCAAAGGAAGTGAGGATCGCGTCTGTTTTTCCTGACTCTGCATGTCAGCAATATACACAGCATGAAATGATCTCTCCTACTGTTCTCTCCCACAAATTAAAAGGCAGTGCTGGACAAGGACAAGAGTCTGACTGTGCTGGTTCCTGCAGGCTCTTGCCTTTTGTCCTCTTTTATAGCATCAGAGAAAGTCAGAGGTTAAGTGAGGAATGATAAACTGAAAAAAGCAAGAGAGAAAAATGGGGAGAAAAAAATTATTTGGGAGGAGAAAGGAGGAAAAGAATTGTCCAGGCACAAAAAGACAAGGATGATTTTATGAGTAATATAGGGCCTGGCAACAGACTGCTATTTCACTGATTGATTCCCTGACCTTCGAAAAGACATGCTACCTTTTTTGCTTCTATTACTTATCTGCAGATAATAATGCTAGCTTTCCTACCAGCATCTTAAGATCCTTTTGTGGAAATATGAGCATTGATATATTGTTGTCAGACAGGGAGAGACAGACTGTACCTGATGAAAGATTACTTACTTCCTGCTCTCAATTTCATAAAAATGTCTCTTAGGATGTTACTAAAAGATTGACTTCTGTCTCTGTTGCATAGACTACAACTGTATTAAAAAAATCTGTAATTTATGAAGGTGTACAAAGTGATTTGTCTTACGAGCTTGTGAATGGATTCTCTACACCTTGAGCCTTAACCAGAACAATCAGAAAGCCAAGAGCTCTTATGTATTCAAGGACTTTTAGGAGGCCCTCTGAGAGAGTTAACAGTGCTTAGAAGCAAATGATGGTGGCCACCTAGGGAGTGCCACTGAATAAAAAATGATGGTCAGTGATATGTGAAAAATGCAGAAGGAAATTACTCGTTTCTGGGTGCTTTTCCATTTATTCAAATGGGTGTGTGTATTTCTCTGATATGATGTTTCCAACTTACAGGCCCTTTTCCCACACCATTCCCCTTCTTGGGTTGGTTGGGCACATCTCCCTTCTAGATGAGCCGTGACTCCTCACCCCACCCCAATTTCCACCATTTTTTCTGCCCTTTGTCTCTACCTCCTACTTTGTTTCTGGTTGCCCTAACTATACTCTCGCTTGCTTCCTCTTGTCTCTGTTGTGCCCCTTTCCTCATCATAATGGCTGCACTGGTATCCTCTACCCCTTTAACCCCTGCAGTTATCACAGGGTGGGTACTGGGGTGCTCTGTCAGGGTACTGGGTACTCAGGTTACTGCAGGACTCTAGAATAGCATTTGGAGCTCAGAGAAGTACTGGGGGCACTGGGAGAGTATATAGGGGCTTTAGCGGGTACTGGGTTCACAGGAGAGGTACTGGGTAGGTCGGGGGTCTCTTAGGAGCACTGCAGGGTACCAGGGAGCTCTGTTGGCCTCTGAGGGGTTCTGAGGGATGGGTACTGGACTGGGTGAGTGGGGTTCCCACACTGTTTTGTATGGCTCCATCAAGCTGAGCGGCTCTGTTCCTGTCCGAGTTCTTCATTTGCTTCCTGTTTCACATTTTCCTCCCCCTCAGCAATGGACGATCAGAGGAACAGGAGACTTGGATGGTCAGTACACTGGACTACTCTCCTGATACTATTTTCCCAGGGTGGTAGATGGTTATTACACAACAAAACCATCCTTGTTCAGTCCATCCTTGCAGAATACTAACATTATTACAGATGATTTATAGCTCAAAATGTATCAGGGCAATGAGTGGTTTCTTTCATATTTGAAGACATACTTAGATTTTATAGCTTAGTTTAAAAATATTTTATTTTCCAAAAGTAATGGTCAGTATGACATAGTTTATTGCAACTAAGTCACTATGTAAGACTGGCTTGTTTTCTGTCTCACTTCAGAGTTCAGAGTATATGCACTTTATTTACAAAGGTGTTTGAGTGCATTTTATTTTACGTGTCCTCAGGGGGGAAAAGCTTACTTGAAACTGCTGCGTAAAAGTTCCATTGCTGGTGGAACTTGTCACAATTAAAATATGGAAGATACTGTTAAAAGTGCCAGATCTGGAAAGGTATTTAAAAACGGAGTAGCATCGGTATTTGCACCTGAGTAAAACTGTAAGGCTTATCAGTATTTTAATAAATGTCCCTAGCAAATGGAAGAATTATATTACAGTCCTTTGTTAAATCTGATAATATGATTATTAGTAGGAAATACTAACTAGATCTACTGAGAAATCTGATTCCTTTACATGTTGTAAAAGCATAGTCCTCCAACAAAACACCATGGATATGTGTCACATGGAAATATTAACAGATCATCAGTTAGGTGGGTGAAGAGAAAATTATCAGACTCCTCATTTATTTTACCTTAGTGTGACAGCCTTGATTGTATTTTCCTCTCGTTTTTCCCTACTGTGTTTCTTTTAGTCAAACAAAAATGTAATGCTTATCTTGGCTTTGATAAATTTTATTTTTTTAATATTCTTTTGCACTTGTCATAATACTATATTTTACATGTTTCACTGAACTGAATATAAAATTCTGCAGACAAATAAATGAGTAGAAAAGACTATAAGCAATTGACAGGTATTATGAAATAGAAGCGGGGAAAAAAATACTTGCACAAAAGATAAAGTATCAGCCTTTGCTTGCTCTGGAAGTGTAAAGCTACATGAATGTAAGTGCAATTTAATAACACCTATAAGCTGCCATGA